TATCTCAAAGATGGTGGCGGCGCTAGGCAGAGCTCTGTTAGGGTTTCCAGGGAGAGGATGAAAACTTGGTGCTGGCTGGCGGCGCGTGGAGTAACTGAGGTGGTCTCTTGGAGTTGTTTTTCAGTTTGGACCCTCTTTTGGAAGTTTGCATTCGGATTTTCTCCTTCTCGGGGTTTGTGGCTTTTTGAAATTTTCATTGTTCCATTGGTGACTGAGGGACTGCTGGGCTAGAGCCTCCCAGGGCTCTATTTATAGATATGGATACCAATGTGGAATGGAAAAGGGCAACTTATGCTGGGGTGGTTGTCAAAGGAAAAAACACTTTATAGGATCCTGAACACCTTGTCTTCCCCCAAAAATTCCTTGATACTATGGCAGGTAAAGGGTCTTCACCTTGCCTTTATCATTTTGGCAAGCCAGCAGACTTCTTCTCTCCACGCTCCACAAGAAACTACAAAGATGAATACAGAAGTCAAATTCACTCACATTGGCAAATTTCTTTTGGGACATCAAAATATGGAGTTTGTAAGGAATTTTTTGGAATCTCTATATTTTATTTGCGTTTGGAAACTTGGCTTATTGGATGGGAGAAATCTACTAATCCAACTCACTGTGGAAGAAGACTATGGAAGATTTTTTGCTAAATAATCTGCTATGATTGTTGGATTAGCTATGAAGATATTAAAATAGACTCCAAATTTTCATCCTAGCAAGAAACCGCATGTGGTCCCTATATGGTTCAAATTTATAGGTTTACCTTTGTAACTATTCAAGATGAATGCTTTATTTAATATTGGTTGTCCAATTGGTACACCATTGAAGGTGGATACTCTAAATTATAATAAGGCTAGAACTGCCCATGCTAGAATCCACATTGAAAGGTACACTACCCTTCTTGAAATGAAAAGAGTATGGATTGGAACTACTTCAGATGGGTTTTGTCAAGAGGTTGTCATGGAACAAAGACCTTTTTAATTGCAACAATGTAGGATGTTTGGACACAGTCTGGATAGATGTTACAGATTAAATGCTCCTTTCAGAAGGAACCCTAACCATACCTCAAAAGACTCATCCAATGAAACTGCTGAGAAGATAACATTATTATTGCTGAAGATACTAACAACTTAAGGAACGGAGAACATGCCATGCTGAATCCAAATATCAACACTGAGTTGGTTAACCCATCTTCTTCTAATCAGAATTTGCATCTAGAACCCTTTATGCAGAACTTGAGTCACCCTTCACCAATAGAAACACAACCTGAAGGGGAGGGAAACAATGTTGTGAATCCTTGTGCAGGTAGGGACCTTATTGCCTCTTGTCTCTTGTATAGAAGGGTGCAGTAGGGAATCCTCTCCTCAGGCCTTAAAAATGACGCGAAATAAAATATTGAAAGGGAACATAACACACCATCTTCAACAGTAATGCTAGAGATGACTCAACTTTTGGAAGCAGACTGGCAAACTCAAAAAAAAAAAGAAAAAAAGGAAATACAAAGCAGAAGAAAAACAAATGAAGGGAAGTAGCCTTCAGAACCCTCAGAAGATTCAGCCAACAAGAGGGTGGACTAGATGTAGATCTCAACCCTCCTTACACCCACCCCATTATGATTAATTTCCTATGATGGAATATAAGGGGGGTTGACCATCCCCTCTCTCTAAAGAGACATAAGTATCTTAACAAGAAACACAAATTTTTGTGTATTGCCATTTTGGAACCTTTGGTTCACCAGAACCCTCAAAAATACTTAAAATATTTTCTTGGTTTTTCTTTATTCATTAATTTGAAGAACAAAATCTAGGTGTTATGCAGACCTAAAATGGGTTGTGTCAATCAAAGGAACCATCCTCAATTAAAACTTCATTTTCTCTGTATGGTTGGCATGGTTGGCTTTGCTACTATTGTATATGCAGGAAGCTCCAAATCTGCTAAACAAAAACTTTAGAACTATTTGCATAGTATTAGCACTCTGTCTGATAAAGCCTAGCTAGTGGGGGATGACTTCAATTGTTTAGCATCACCTGCTGAAAAAAGGGTGGGAGGCCTCCTTGCATATCCACTATGAACACCTTCAATGACAACATTCAGAGAGCAGGTTGTTTTGATTTGGGCTATAATGGGCCAGACTTTACTTGGAAAAGGGAAAGATTATGGGAAAGACTAGATAGAGTCTTAGTAAATGATAGTTGGATTCAAAATTTTCTGCATACTTCCATCACTCACCTTAGCTTAACTAGATTTGACCACACGCCTCTGTTGATCACCTTAGCTTCCACTAGAAAGAATTCTAAATCTTCTTTCAGATATTTAAATTTTTGCACTAATCACAAGGATTTCATTCACACTATCAAGGAGAAATGGAAAGACTGTGATCATTATAAAACTCTAACCAAACTCTGGAATTTGCAGAAGAAGTTTGGGAAAGCTCTCAATAATTGGAGTTGGAACACCTTTACTAACATTATCAATGGGGTTGAAAAGGCTGAGAAGGAAGTACAGGCAGTGGAGAAGGCAAATCTACTTGGACAGGTGGATGAGGCTTCCCTTTTGGAGGCCAATGAGAAGTTACTAACAACATTGGATATGCAAGAACAACTTCTCAAACAGAAAGTAGCTAAAATAAAGTTCTCTGATGGTGAAAAAAATACTATGTATTACCATGCTTGTATCAACTATCGAAGTAAGTTCAAAACAATTCATTCTATTAAAGGTAAACAAGGCAAGTGGATTAAAGATGAAGATGGGATTGCTGCCAGTACTGTTGAATACTGTCAACAACTAATGCATAGGACCAACAACAAAAAAAGAAAGGTAGACTCAAATCTCTTCATATCTGATCATGATTTAACTACAAGTATACAACTAGCTAAAGTCCCAGATGAGGAGGAAATTAAACAAGCCCTTGATTCCATAGACAACTTCAAAGCTGCAGGTCCTGATGGATTTACAGCTGATTTCTACAAAAAAGCATGGGAGAAAATCAAGGAGGATGTGATTAATGCATGCCAATACTTTTTTTAGGGTAATTATTTGCCTGATTACTTCAGTGCTGCCACCATTATTTTCCTTCAAAAGTATTCTATTAAAGACCAATGGAATCACTTCAAAACTATAAGCCTGACTAATGTGATTAGCAAGATCATAAGAAAAATCTTAGTGAGGATATTACAACCTATTTTAAAAAAAAATATCATCCCTAAACAAACCATTTTTATAAAGGGAAGGAGGATTGATGTAATGTGCTTCTAGCTCAAGAGTTACTACTGGATTTGGAGAAACCATGCACAGGGGGAGCATGATATGTAAATTGGATTTAAAAAAGGCCTATGGCATGATTCATTGGGATTTCATAGCTGAAATTCTGATGGCAAGGGGGTTCTCTACTGATTCTTGCCATATCATCAGCAGATAGTTAAAGGGGAATGTAAATTCTGTATTAATCAATGGGAAAGTCAAGGGGTTCTTCAAGGCCACCAAGGGGTTGAAGCAAGGGGACCCTCTCTCCCCAACAATTTTTAACCTAGCATTCGATAACCTTTCCAGACTTCTTGACAGGCCTATTCGAAGGAAGAATTACAGTATTTATCACCACAGACCAAAATTGGACATTAGCCACTTAATCTATGTTGATGACATCATTATCTTTTCCAGAGCTCACAAGGCTGCTGCTAGGAATCTGTATACTTGTTTACAAGAATTTCAATACACTTATGGACTCATGGTAAACAAAGAGAAATGTCAAGTGTTGTTCCCGCAGGCATTGGATCCTAGAACATACTGGCTTCACCACCATGCTGACCTTTTTTAAATATTCTAGAACATACTGGCTTCACCATTGATTACAGTATGTATCACCACAGATCAAAATTGGACATTAGCCACTTAATCTATGTTGATGACATCATTATCTTTTCCAGAGCTCACAAGGCTGCTGCTAAGAATCTGTATACTTGTTTACAGGAATTTCAATACACTTATGGACTCATGGTAAACAAAGAGAAATGTCAAGTGTTGTTCAGTAAAAGAGCTTCCACTTCCTGCAGGCATTGGACAAGTGTTGTTCAGTAAAAGAACTTCCACTTCCTGTAGGCATTGGATCCTAGAACATACTGGCTTCACCACCATGCTGACCCCTTTTAAATATCTAGGAGTTCAATTATGCAAGAGAAAAACTAAACTAGCTCAATTTGATGAGATTGTTAATAAAATACTCTCTACTCTACAATGTTGGACCAATTCTTTCCTCTATAATGGGGGCATAATAACTGTATTGAAGAGTGTCCTAAATACTTTCCCTTTGTATATCCTACAAGTGGTAGTGATGAAGAAAAGCAAACAGCTGCTGTAGGAGAGAATATTCAACATATTTCTATGGTCTGGAAAGAGAAAGTAGATGATTTGGGTAGATTGGCAAAAAGTGGCAAAACCTCTCTCAGCAGGTGGACTGGGCCTTAAGGGGCTTCAACAAATCAGCATGTACAGACTCTGGATTACTTTTAGACAACAGGAAACTCTTTGGGCTAAATTCATGTTTGCCAAATACTACAGATTTGACTATCCTAACTTGGTATTAAGTGTTGAACAGAAAAGCTTCAATATAATCAAGGTAGTATGAGAGAAACCTGTGTATCCCTTCATAAAGATCAACACCGATGGAAGTTTCTCTCCAAAGGAAGCTGGCATTGGAGGAGTCTTCAGGGACCACAGAGGGTTCTGTTTACTACATTTCCAATCACCCATTATGGCAGATGATGCTATGGAAGCTAAAAATGCTGCTCTTTTTTGGGAACTCAAGCTGGCTGTTATGAACAAATGGACTCCTCTACAACTAGAAGTGGACTCCCTTTAGCTTGTGAAACATATGACAGGTAAACACACTCTCCCTTGGTACATAAAGTAGTGGATTACCTAGATAGAACAGTTAATGGTGGAGACCTGAGTTTTTTTCTTTTTTATCTACAGAGAAGGAAATGGACCATCACATTTCTTAGCTATTAGTGGAGCTCAATCTCAAATGGTTTTGCTATCAAAGTACCCTTCCCCTTCTCTTGCTTTTTTACTTTTGGGAGACAATTTCAAAGCCCCCCATCTTGGACTTGACCTCATTTTGAAATCTAATAGAATTCTCTTTTGCTAATATATATATATATATATATAATATAGTAAAAAAATATTAATAAAACAAAACAAAAATGATAAAAATTATTTTTAAAGTGTTTGATATTTATCCTACTAGTTAAGTCTCAATATTTGTATGTGTAGTTCAAGGATGATATTAATATGCAAATTGAAAATATCAGTAAAGAACTATTAGATCTAGAAAGAAACTCAAGGAATAATAATTTGAATCAATTTGAGAAGTTGAAAGAAAAATTAAAATTTTAGGATTTAAGAGGAATCCCGGGATTTGGAAAAGATGATTTGTTTGATCGGTGTTTACATAAATGGAAATTTAATCCAAGATGAAATCCTTTGTCTATCTATTGAAGTTAAACTAAGTGTTTTATGGGAGGAAACCCATGTTTATCAGTGTGGTTTGATTTTTTATGTTTGTGAGTTGTGATTGTTTGTGTTGTATGGTGTTTTGTTTAGTGTGGATTGATCAATTTGGTTTCTGTTAGTGGATGTGTTAATTGTTTATGAATTGATTTGATCTTTATGTGTTCCATGAAGGAGGTTGTTCCTTAGCTTCTTATTATAGATAGACTTGTATATGTTCTCTTGTAGTAGATGGATTGACAAGTCTACTATGAATCACATTTTATCAAAGCTTAAATTTTACAAGAGGCATCTTGAGTTTGGATAGTAATAGTTCCATGTAAGTTCTATTATTTCCTTTCTATGACCTTGTTTTCATTTGGTAGGAGTCATGAACCAACTCGATGAGTAACATGCGGATGATCTTGCACTATCTTTAAAACTGTTAGAGGTGGATACTTTTTGGGATAGGGTAGGTGATGCCTGAGGTTTTTGTTCGCAACCTATCTTAATAGGGGTACTCTTGTCCATGTGGATAACAATATAGAATTTGTTGAAGGCTTTTAATGTATCCGTGTAGTTATTCCATTAGAAGTTGGAAGTAAGGTAGTGAGATGTGATGAGTTAAAGGATGAATAAACCCTTTCATCACTTATTAAAATGACATGTGGTATGTGGTATTATTTTTATGATACTAAACTTTTGATTTTTAGAAATGATAGAGAGGAACTTAGTAGAAAAGTTAGTAAAAAGGATGAAACTAAAGTTAAGATCTTAAGTAAAAAATATTACGGAAATGATTTTACCATTTATATTAGGAAAAATTAAATTTTTAAAAAATTAAAGATTTTCAGAAAAATAATTTTTAAAGAATTTAGATTCTATGAAAATTATTTTTCAAAAACTGATACAAGATTTTAGGTTAGGGATACAAAACACGTTTTTAACTTTAGAGAAGGGATAGTGAAATTCGAAATCAATAAATGTCTATCTAGATATAGTAATCTTGACCTTAAAAAAAAAGTAGCGATTAAAAAGATCCTGAAAGAAAAAAAAAAATTTAAGTAAGAGAAAAAAGAAAAAGAAAAGGAAAATAAAAATAAAGTATGAAAAGAGAGGAGAAGATTGAAGAATAGGATCTAATTACAAATTGATTTCACTTGAATCTTTTTAAGGAAGCAAATTTAAGGTCAATCCTTGGCTTAATTTATAAAAGTATTAGTAAAAATTATTTTCAATGTAGATGTCAAAAATTTTGAAATTTAAATGTTTCCAAAAATCTAAAAGTTTTGTGAAATTTCAACTATATCTCAATTAAATAGAAAAGCACTATTTCTAAATTTAAGCTAAATGTTATGATACCTTAAATATCATCTGTTTTACTAGAAAATCTTCTAAGATGGACTATAAAACTTCTAAAATAAATTTTAAGTTATATAAAAAGTAAACCCACTGGCACAGGTTAACAAAAAATGTTCTTAAAGTTATAGTGTCACTTGAGGACAAGTAATGTTTAAGTTTGGGCAAATTGATCTAGCTGAAAATTACCCATTTTTAATTTACATTTTATGTTCATTTTATCAACATTATTGATGATATTGCACATTAAAGGAAGTTATTTTGTAATTTTTTGATTCTAGGTACAAGAAATAGTTTTTTGCAAAAAATTGAGCAAAAGTGGTGCAATTTGTTCTAAACTAAAGAAAATTGCCAAACCAACCTAACTGGTACCTAGATGTCAGATACAGAACTTGGCTGGTGACTTTCTAGAAGATTCATTGCATGAGGCAGAATTTTGAAAAGATATATGAAGCAACCCTTGATCATTTCCAAAGCTCTATAAATAGAGATTAATTTCATGAGTATAAAGGGTTGGATAAGATTATATAAGGTTGGATAAAGTTGTATAGTGAGTCATATAGTGTTCTTTGTGAGTCCTTGTGATTTCTAAAGTTTGTGAGTCCTTTAAGTGTTTTTTGGAGTTAGAGAAGTCAGAGAACTTCAAAGGAGTGCTTGACAAAACATTCCAGATAAGTAGTTGTATGTTTGTCTTTAAGTCTTGTACTTTTT